AGACAACCCCGTAACAATATGCGTTTTGTACTGCTGTTACACAGCACAAAACGCATAAAAATTGTTGCCTTAGTGCCAGAAATGTTTTGCTTAGTGATCTGCTGTAGAAATGAGCTTCTACGAATTGTTTTTGAAAAAGTCTTACAGTCCATCCACCGCCGAGTAGCTTCATTTCGCAGTATGCAGGAAATGTGCAGTTCTCTGGTTTCGAACAGCTCCAGTCCTGAAGGCTGTATAAGCCCGAGCCTGCCAAGTGATAGCGCCGCTGTAAATCCGCACAGTCTCCATTAAATGGCGGTGCTAAAATATTCATGGCTCTTAGTTGATTTTGAAATTTAATGCTTTATTTCGTTACTTCTATCAGCTCTTATTTTAACAGCGCATTCTTTTCGCCACTGGTGCAGCGCAGCTCTCAACTTTTCTATTTTGAGGCTTTCTCATCCTGTAACTCTACATAAAAGTTCTGTTCACTGTACTGGCTTTCTTTCCTTTTTCGACATTAGGTGGTGGCCAGTTAACAATCCGCTTTTGTTACTTCTCAGCCTCTTCAGTTGACCAGCTTGTCTCTTCTTCCTAGCCTATATTTCCAGCAAATATCGCTTTGCAAGACCAGATCCGCAGGACAACACTGGGGAGATGCTGACTTACTGAAGCCTGTCTTAGGTCATTTTATGGCTCGTTGGGTAACGATTAGGTTTTTTTACCTCAGCAAGCGTGGCATTCACGTTTTGTTCTCACAGAACAAAACAGGTAACATAGTGGAGTTAAAAAGTGCCACATTAAGTGTCGGTGGTGTGTTAGAGCTGCAAAAGATTTCTCGTAACTTGTTGAAGTCTGTCCATCAGTAAATCACTTATTATTTGTTTGCAAGTTAAAACAGAAAAAATAAGGGAGGCAAAGCAAAGCGGAAATAGATCTAACCTAAAAGTGGAATGCATACGCCAGCAGAAGTGCGACTGTAGCCGAAGGGGCAACCGCATAAGAATGTCGCGGAATCTGGATTGAAACTGCACTCTTTTTGTTTCTGGCACATTTCGCTCCCTACTTCTTCACAGAAACCTGCATCAAAACATCTCTTTGCTATAAAACTTTCCCGCGTATCAGCAGGATAGTTTCATATTTTGACGGCACTGTTCACGAATGTGACAGTTTCAGTGGCCAAATGCACTACATCCAATCAACTGGACAGCAAGCAAATCCAGTCGCCAAATAGCAATGGCCGGTAACAAACATAATAAGCACTCAGTGCTGGCAAAAGCAATTCAAAAGATAGCCAA